CAAAAAAGGCTGGTTGTTTGCACTAACGGGAAATAAAAGCTGTCTTTTATCTTGTTAGAGGTTCTTGACTATATTCCACAACACTCCCCTTTCTAAGGACAACTGGAGACTCTTCCACTGGACTGTGCTCAGTTTTCACTTGAGAATCATTTTCTGGGAGCTCTGGGTGAACTTGTCATAGCATTACACAGAGCACCCATCACTTCCTCTTTGAATTGAAACCAAGTGCTGCTCTCTGCCGAGTGGAAATTAGCAGTGCATTCAGTGTGCTATCTAAAAAAGATCCATTATTAACTCTATTCCTTTAGAAAACATAAGTCTGAAGCAAAAACAAAAATTAGTTTTGCCTATTATAAGTCACAATAACCTTCCATGATTTGGGACTGACATGTGTTTTTCATTATAGTAATTCAAAATGATACCACTTAATGTGGCTTATGAAAATGACAGTTATGTAAGGAGCTTCCCAACGTTCTAAAAATGGAATCCAATCAATTGAGTGACTCTTAAATGATATGGGGAAAGAGAAATTTAATCCTATGATCTATAAAAGCCATCTCAGTATGCTGTTTATCTTTTAGTTTTTTTAGTCCCAGGGTTTGAATACCATAATGGAAGACATCTAACCATAAGACCATGGCAAACATACTGTGGCTTTCCATATTTGAGTTCAATTTAAAAATGCCCCGGCTTCACAAATGTTCCCTAAAGGAATTTTTCACCTTTTTGAAAACTTGTCAACATTTCAAATAAAAACTATCAAATTTCTCGCAATAGATGATGTGACAACTACAGGAATTACACTTCCAAACTTTCAGAAAGTGACTCTTGAATGAAGACACTCAAATGGAAGTTTCTCTAGTTTATCTACTGGAATAAAAATTGTATATTTTTGCTCAAAAGTCTCTAATTTAATGGAGTAAAATATAGCTGTCTTATTCTTCAACATAAACAACAGCTTTTCTAAGGCAAAAAAAAAAAAAAAAGACAAGTTTTGTAGCAAAAACTGCCAATCTTGTCTTTTTCAGTTAAAGTGGTTAGTGTTGACTAAAGAAACGGGAAGACTCTAAAAAAAGGGGGGAGGGGTAATATAACATATAATTTTTTCAACTATGTAACTGGAACAAAAGGTGTAATAGTTTAAAAATACTAGAAATAAGCAAACCAGTGGGGTATTCTTTGTTGACGCACCATATTATTTTTTCAAGTGCATTTGGCTATACTGTAAGAAAGTTAATTATTGTGACCAGAAGTCAATCATATCATATATGATAAAAAGTTCCTCCAGCAAAAACCATGTTTGCAAATGAGCTATCTCAATCCTGATTATTCACCTGTTAAAATGGCCCTTTCATGTCACAGCAATTGAAGACATTAACTGAAATTGGGTGACTGATTTCTGACTTCCTCTCTGATTAGCTCTTCACAGGCCATGGAAGGACCATACCACTATGAGTGTGTGTCCCCAGTTCTTTATCTGTGATGTTCTGTTTAAAACTTGTTGCCTTTAACAATGAAGGAGTGTTGTAGTCCTATCACATCCAGAAACAGGATAGGAACCTATTTTTTACTAGAGGAGTTTAGATCTTTCAACTGGTACAAGCAAAGGGGTAATGCTTGTTAAATTAAGACCTTTTCAAAACTTATATATATAAAAGCCTAAGCGACTGTTAGGCCTGAACAACCAGTCACTATGATGCACACTGACCACCAGGGAGCAGATGCTCAATGCAGGAGCTTCCCCCTGGTGGTTAGTGCACTCCCACAGCCAGCCTCCTGCAGCTTCTCCCTCCAGCCAGCTCCCAATCAGCCTGATAGGGAGGATCAGCTGGCCAACCTCCCACGGCGCCTCCCCACAATGGCTGGCCACCCTCCCATTATCCCTCCCCCTGGCTTGGCCGGGCCCCCAGATAGGCCTTGATCACCGTCCAAGCTGAGAGACCTCACCTGTGCACGAATTCGTGAACTGGGCCTCTACTTACTTATACGGTAAAAAGTTACTCCAAGAGCACTAGAATACAACCTTTCAAAAATCACACAACATATTCATTCATGCAGTAAATCATCAAGGGATGTTTGGATCATGAAAATCGAGTATAACTCGAATCATACAAATTTTCCTCTGTCTTTCTCCATTAGAATAATATGCATTGGAAAGCTAAGTTCCAAACATTTCCTCTAACTGAAGATAGGGAGATTTAGTGCAAGCCACCTTGCTACAACTTTTTGAATTTTACAGAATGTTGACCCTTGATGAAGTATTTGAAAGACATGATTATATTTTCACAACCCAAATTATCCCAATTTAATTTTCAAAATAAGAATTGTTCCATGTTTTCAGTTTATTGCCATTCACAAAACATCTTATAAAATAACCTGGTAGACTTCCACTTCAACATCTTCACAGTACAAGAAAGTGATTGCTACTGCCTATATCTAAAGCCAGCCAGTCTTTTGAGTATAGGGCAGAATATTTCTGCAGTTCTTCCTAAAAAATGTTGGCCCATTCATTAAATGCCCATGTTATAAAAATCACTTACTATCAATCCCTATCTTTCAGTATATTTTCATATCTACACAGCATCACATTAAATGTTAATGGGCAAAAAAGTGTAAAAAAAAAATCTAAAAACATTTCAGTTCTTAATGATTTAAAACCAACTAGCAAACATCTTCCCTCCAAATATTTTTATATGTAACTTTGTCAATTACCACAATAACAAAAAGCTATTATACTTTTAAAGAAGCTAAAGAAAAAGATTTCACTTTTCCTTTCAGACACGAATTCTTAGCTATTAAATAAAGAGGTAAAACTTTACATATGGGTTTAAATTTAAGTGGGTGAGAAGACGAGTCACAAGTAAAAACATCAAGTTTATGTCAGTTGTACAAATGTCTCATTTAGGAAAGAAAGTAGAAATTTTGATTAAAAAATTCTAAAATATTTTGTCATTACAAGAAACGTGTAATTTTTTTTTCTGGCGCCTTGCGGGTGATGGTGGGTTGGTAGGTGGGGCAATTGAACTACCTTTCCGCTCCCCCAAACAAGATTGGCAGAGGCCCACTACGCAGCTATGGGCCGGAAGCAGCCAGAGAGCGGAGGGTTCCCGGGTCTGAGGGGAGGAGGCCAAAAAGGTCTTCAGGAGGCGCCTGGAGCTACTATAGTTTCCCCATTCCCCTCCTCTCCCCCCAGAGCAGGGACACCACACACCACAGCCACCGCTGCCTCCATGCACATTCAACTAATAAAATCATCTATTAGCATATCCTATTGTTTTTCACAAAATCATAATAAAGGAACAATAGGTTAGGCAAAAGATTTTTTTTTCCAACATTTGCTCAGATTAGTGAGTTAGCCTCCTGGTAAAGACACCTCCAAGAATCATCCTCTCTCAAATTAGGGTTCTAGACTAACTGCCCTTCAGCATCTCCCAATTTACAAACTTATATAGAATTGTTAAACTTGTAAAACGATTTTGAGAATGAAATGTTTCAACTCAATGTATTTTCCAGATAAAGTTCCCCCAATTAAGTAGTAAAGCTGTTCTTATAAACATTTTTAATCTTACTTTAACATTTATTTTCAATGTATTTCCTTGTCACCTTAAAAGATGATGAGGTATCACTAAACCAGCTCTTAACTTCCTGGTCTCCCAGACCTGGCAGCTGACTGGTCTGCAGACATAGCCTGGGCCCCAGCTCCGATTCCGGGCAACTTGAGCCACATTCTGAATCCCAACACAAGGGTGACACCACCTGCTCTGTGTCCCTCTGTTTTAAAACCCAATAGAGTTACCATAATATTCCCAACTATCTGTAGACTATAAATTATATGCAAATGCAAAGGATTGCTGTCATAAGCCTCAATTGGCCCTTTCCTGGTAACAAAGTCTAGATACTTCTGATAAAGTATTTGTTCTTTGCACATTTATGGTTCTGATCCTTCCATTACCTACTATTCTCCAGTAGTCATTCTGTCTCCTGCTTCAAATTATGCTTCCAAGTGTACCAGGCTTGAGATTCAGTTTGTGTCTCCCAGAGTCTGGAAGTCTGACCTTGCAGTGGTGAAAACTAAAACCTAAGATCCCTGTTCCTTTAGTAAATGTGGTATCATCATTGCTCACTTCAAAAGAATGGTTCCCCAAGTAGGCGATGCACCAGACTCCTGGAGGCGGCACTTCAGGAGAGTCTAATTCGGTATGTCCGGAGTAGGAACCAGAAAAGCTGTTTCTCACAAGCCCCCCCAAGTAATCACAATAATTGATATTTCAGGTTTTTGGAACTCACTGTTTTGCCCACAATTTCTTCTCTAGAATGTTAGCAGCTGCTAGTTTGTTTTCAGTATAAAAATTTCTCCCTGTGCTAGTCACAAGCACATTCCAAGTACACTGCCCTCAGTCTAGGCTCAGATCCATAGGGAACTAGTCATTATAATCTTTTGCAATAAAATTTTAAAATAACTTCAGAGCTAAGAGAATGCATTCAAGCTTTAAGGTGCGAGGATCTACGTTAACAGGACAACTGTTTCTGCTTTACTTGTGGTTAGCACTTCACGGTAAATATGAAGACCATCTTAATACAGTCTGCCACTAAGTAAAGGATGGCAGAACTTTTGCCAATAACAGGAAAATGGTTAACTAGCTAATCAGTATTACTAAGAAAATGTTTCCAGCAGACACAAATGAAAAATGAAAGGTACTTTACAAAACCACTCAGCTTCCTGTAGAAACCCAAAGAAGTCTACCGTAGAGGGGGAATCTGACCAAAACTATGGTTATTTAAAAATATGTTCAATTAACTGTGAAAATATAAGTGTCAAATAGGTACAGTTTTATCCTTGAGGAGGTTTAATAGGCATAAATGGAATTCAGTTTTCATTTATTCTACCCAAGTAGTTGTGAAAAGGACACAAAGTATTTGGTATAATGTAGTTCTAAACACCATCCCCTCCAAATTTAACACAAGAGCCACATCTGGGTTCCCTAGGGATCCGAGTATGTCTAGGCACTGCGGAACGTGGTCATGTCTTTTGGTTCTCTGCTGGGGACACACCAGTCGTCAGCTTCGTGGATGGTTTTGTAATGCTTCCAGGCAGCTTTGTTATACACCGGGAGTCTTTCTATGGATTCTGTAGACAGAGCCTGAAAGAAAAGCAGGACCTAAGTCTGCCATGTTTTTAGAATCCAATATTTGAGAAAACATACAGTGGCAAAAAGATGACTACAAACTAAACAATACCATATTAGCTATGTATTTTATTAATCAGAACAATGTCTCCTCACATTTTAAGTAGTGTGCATACTTGAAACATATTATTGACTGAGCCTATGGCACTGCCTGGTGTGTACGTTGACTGAATTTGTTGCTTGCGGTAATTGTCCAGCCAGCCTGGATGCCACTGGATTGAAATTGCACACACGTGTAATAGATGCCTCTTGTAAGACATGACCCAGAACAGAAGTTGATTCATTTAAAAGTGATGTAAGTACAAAAATTGACATATGTACCTTAATATACAATGGTACAATCACTTAATATACTCTATTTTAATTATTTATTAGAATAAATACATATTTTCAGTATAGTTACTATACTTTTAAAAATTCAACATAATATTATTACCAATAAATATAAAACTAGGTCTAGCCGGGACCGGTTTGGCTCAATGGATAGAGCGTCGGCTTGGGGACTGAAAGGTCCCGGGTTCGATTCCAGTCAAGGGCATGTACCCTGGTTGCGGGCATATCCCCAGTAGGGGGTGTGCAAGAGGCAGCTGATCGATGACTCTCTCTCATCGATGTTTCTGACTCTCTATCTCTCTCCCTTCCTCTCTGTACAAAATCAATAAAATATATTAAAAAAAAAAAAAAAAAACTAGGTCTAAGGCCTCTTGGCTGTTGCATGAACCATACCTGTCCCTGGGTTTGACCCTGTCTTTTCTTCCCGCCATTAGAGCCACCAATTTCAGTTATAGCACATGTGTTTCTGCATCATGCATAATTTCATGTTTCTAACATATCATTGCCATTAATTCACTATTCTTTTTACCTTCATGTAAATCACTGGAACATAGTTTATTGTTCCTCATTTTCTTCTTTAATAAAATTTCACAGTTAATTTTACACAGGCATTCCCCAAGATGTAAAAAAAATACTGAACTAAAATTCCATTCTAATAATGCAAAGGAAGGTATTTAACATTGATGATTTTAATGATTCTATAAGACTTCCTGTCATTTATTTTTTGCAAAATGGAACTAAAAACCTTACACCTATATATTCTTTTTGAATGTGCCAGAAATGCTAGCACCACTTGATCTTATAGACTGGATCAAAGATGTTACATTTAATGATAAAAATATTGCCTTCATGTTGCCCCTTTTTAAGTTCCTTACAATTGAGACGGTTTAAAAAAGGAAAAGAGAAAGAATTATTATCTTGAAAGAATTTAACCTTTTCAGATAAATGTATTTTTCCAATAGTCTTTAGCATTTCCTGTAAAATAGGTGCCATCTAGTGGCCAGAATAAGAAACTAGCGCCACTAAATAGATAACCAACATTTTTAACCAATTCAGTGGATTGAGGGGGCTCAGTCTTCTCCATCCCGTAAAATATACTGATCTCCACATAAACAACACATAGAACATCCAGGGCCAATAGGCTCAGTGCCTCTGCTCCCACCAAGTGAGCTGTAGGCCTACCAAGAATCACTGTGCTTGTTCCCAAATCTGTTTATGCAATTTTATCTGTCATTGTAAATACATAACCTAATCGGACATTACTTAAAGAAAAGATTGGAAGACTTCTTTGAAAATTAAAATATTTTTTAAAAACTCATGAAGAAAAGTCACATAAAAACTGCTGTCAAATCAGAGTCAGAAGACATTTTTAAAGGACTGCATACAAATAGAAAAGGATTATACACTTGATTGTTTCTTTGTTATAATAAACCTCAAAAAAATGCATTGTACACCTTCCACAAGAAGATACTGAAACTGCAGACCCAAAGAAAGGCCTGTGCAATAGATCAAAAGATTGGTGAATCAATGCCCATTCATGAGTTTTATGCTAAAATTAAATTTATAAGACATAAAACTTTTTATGATCCCCCACTTTACCCAACTTTTTTTTTTATTAACAACCATAGTCCTGATCATTACATACATATAAGCATTTCTTTTCCTAGAGTCAATGAGATTATTTGTCAAAAAAGATGAGGCCATATGCTAAAAACTATATATGTCTATTTAAATAGCATGAATTAGAGGAACTTTTCATTACATTATTGATAATATTGGCATCTCTTCCTCTTATCAGAAGAAGTCTCATTCACTCAAGAAAGCTATGGTTCCTACCTTAATGAAGATCACTGCGTCAGTCCCATAGCCCTCGAGGGAATACAGCTTCAGGTCTCCTTGGAAGTACTGAGCGTAAAGACGGGAGATGGGCAATCCATAGCCAAAGCCAGCCTGTTGTGTGAGGAAAAGGAAATTCTGAAATTCTATTCAGAAAACCACCCACTGAAATGCTTATCTAGTGAATGGAAATGCTACTGAGTACCCCAGGCTATCAGAAACGCCAATGCTAAGTATTCCTAAAGCTCAGGCTGGAGCAGCTGAGTACTGCATTAGGTTACTCCCCTCCCGTCACTAAGAAGTCTCCCTTCTTCTCTCTACTATAAAATGACTTGGGAGAGAGGGGATCTGAAAAAGCATGTTGCTTTTCTTCGTTGGCCTGCTCTAGAGGAGGATATGCTTTGGGCAATATCATATAAAACATGTTCTCAGCAAGAGTAGAAAAGGCCTTGTGCTGCATAACAGATATATCTTGTGACTTCATACCATGAACTCGCAGCCTGGGTTCTGAATCTGGAGGGATCTTTCTTCATTCTCACTTATAATCTCACTTCATTCTCACTTCCCTGCTTACAAATATTCAAAGCACAGCTCTTCCCACCCACCCACTGGCCTGAAATAAAAACCCAAGCTTCTACAAAGAGCTTTCAAGACCCCATAAGATCAGGTCTCTGCCTCCCACTTTCCAGTCCAGCTGAACTAAATCTCCTGCTCTCAAGTTCTTCAAACATATGCTATCAATATTTTTTATTTTTGTGTCTTTGTTCATCCTATTCCTACTGTCAAATGGCCTTCTTTGCCTGGATAAATCCTACCAATTCTTTAATATAAGCAAAACCTTTAGATAAAAGCACAAATGGTTTTTATCACCAAATGAGATGTTCAATGGCATTCCATATAACACTTCAGTTGAGAGCTCATGTGGATTCAGCAATCAGAGTGCTATTCATAAATCCAGGCTCCAGCTTTATCTGTCTCCACCATTACTACTTGATTTTACTAACTGGAGTATCTATTCACCTCTCCAAATCAACTATCTGTTTTCTTAAAAATTCACGTTTCCTTGCCCTCGGAGGCTGACCTGAATGGTGATGGCAATGGATTCCCATCCCTCCTCCTGTGGGTCGAGCCAATGGGGAACCAGTAGGAGTGCAGACGAAGTCAGGGTATTCACTCCCCTGCTTCCTTCTGCCAGAGGTTGCTTCCTTTGGGCACAAGGGGCTCCCTGTTACTAAGCAGCTGCTCTGCAACCTTCCCCTTTTCTGGGTCTTCTGGCTTCTCCTCCGTCTCCCTTTGATTCTGGGTGGTGACAATTCTGCTGCTGGCCCTGGAATCCTGTACTATCTATAGTCATAGCTCTATAATTTGTCTTTCTGTAAATAAGCCTCCCTTAATTATCATAATTTGGATGAGGTCTCTTTTCTGTTGGGACCCTGACTAATACATTAATTAGTTCCAGAAATGGCCCCAAGGAAACTGCACAAGCAGGTGGCTCAGGATGCCATGCCCAACCTCTCCCTCAACCACACCTACGGATGTGTGGGACTTCCCCCAGAAAAGTCAGATAAGAAAGCCAGCATGGGTCTGGCTTCTACAGTAAAATTAGACTCTAAGAAATGCTTATGTTTATTATTTGACCTCTCTGTTCCATGGTACATGGATGCCTTCCCCAGACACCATGCATCTCCCTTTGAGAAGCTCATTACTATACTACATGAACCATCTTTCAGTTGTAGCTACAGAATTTGTGCTGCCTAACAAAACTATTATAACAAAGTCCTTCTAGTAACTTCCTAGAGTCTAAAATAGATCCATCATATACTGCGTTTCATCATGACAACTCCAGTGCCGGTGCCAGAAAAGACTCCAAGCCTAGAACAGTTCTTCCAGAATTAAAGGTCAGAGATCTGGCAAAGCGCTCTTCTGGCAGTTGGAGAACAAGGATAGAGTCAATTCAAAAGCTAATTTAATTAAATCTGAAAATAGATAACTATTAAGATGAATAAAAAATACCAGCAAAATGATCATTGGAGCCATTTCCAGGTTGATGATTAAAATGATTAGAAGTCTAAGTCTTATTTCTGAATCTAGAATATGAGTTCTATTATAAGTACTTGGGGGGCGGGGGGAATAACATTGAAGATAAAGTCAGTGTTGACCCAATACCAGTAAAACTGCTAATTTAGTCTTCACATTAGAAATAGTACATCAAATGCAGTTTACCACAGGAAAACTACTGACATATCACTATCAAGCTTGGCAACGAGACCTCCAAAACAATACTCTTTGTCTTGTGCTCCTCAGTCAAAAGAAAAAAAAAAAAATAACCAAAACTTATGCTATTTAAATTTAGAGGGAAGTGGGTTTTTTTTCTAATAGCTCCCCTTCTTCCTTGAGGTGTGCCCTACACAATGGCTGAACTGATTTATTTGGTAACCAATTTGTTTTCTTTGGCAGTTACAAAGATGCACTTCATTATTTCTTGATCACATACCAGGGGTGCTGCTCGGGATGTCTCAACACGCGGCCGGGGTGCAGTTGAGTACATGTAGTTGAAGAGCCTGTCAATTTTCCTCAGAGGAACACCACCTCCTCGGTCACTCATCTAAGATGAGAAAGGATCATGCAATATGACCAAGTCCTTTATACACCAAAAGAAGGACACACAGTGTTACAGTTTAATTGCTCTCTGCAGAGTCTGGCTTTTCAAAACGAGTATCATGCAATTCAAGTTGCAAGTGTAAACAATTCCTTCACTGCTGGACTTAACACAACTCATCTAACAGGTAGAATTTTAATACAAAATAAACTCCATCATAATACAAGTTCAGGGGGTGACTTTGTGTATTACTGAAGTCACACTAACACTGCAGTATAGCACCGAATGCAGCATAAACTAAGCCTATCTTGGATGTAAAAATAATTCTTTTTTGGTGGCCAGTTTGAAAACCAGGTGAAAAATGCATAAATCCTCTCTGACCCAACAATGTTTATCCTAAAAAAATAAGCAGAAAAGTATGCAAAGAATGTGGGATACTATCCATTACAGCACTATAGAGAACAGCTAAAACTAATTAGAAAACTAGTTGAGTAAACTAATGTACATTCTAAAATAGAACACTACTTAGCCATTAAATATTATATAGAATTGAACGTATAAGCAGGAGAGATGTTCACAAAATCTTGTTAAATAGCACAAAGCTATGAAGACGCATTTATAATATTCTAATTTTATAAAAATTAAATTATGAAAAGCCTGTAATGATATATTTTTGTCTATTGAATTATGAGTGGTTCTTTTCTTTTGGGTTTTTAGTTTCTGAATATTTTTCACAATTACTTCTATTATGGGAAACAACAGTATAATTTTCATTTTCAGGACGGAAAAAGCAGAGCCACTTAATTGTGGTGTAGAATCTCATGTACTAGGCATTTCATAGAATAGACTCCAGACAACATTCTAGGGAATTTATAAGGTACATAGGTTTTTATATTGTGCTTATGTCATTTTTCAACTCAAATCATATGGTAGACTGGATTTAGTAATGTATTTACAGATGGTCTTCATTTTGTATTCCTTCACAGTTATCATGGACTTATTTTCCTAGCTGTTGTACACGTTCCATTCTAATCTAATACAGCCATTTTCCTTTGTTACAAAATCTAAATTGAGTCCACTATCTATAATATTAAAATAGTTGTCATGAACAAATCTGCTTTTAACATAGGTATATAGATATGCACAGACATAAAAATAGTTCTGAGTGCTACATATTCAAAAGTCAATAAGCTAGATGGCTTCTAGTTACGCTTTTGTACAGTCTTTTTATTTATTTATCTCTATTGTTGAAAATATTACAGATGTCCCCTTTTTCCCATTAACCCCCTTCACCCTGCTCCTGCCTCCTCCCCAGGCCTTCACCAAACTATTATCTGCTCATGGGTTATGCATATATGCATATAAGTTCTTTGGTTAATCACTTCCCACCCCCTACCCTCTGAAATTCACCAGTGTATTGTCTCCAGCCTATTTTATCAGTTTATTTTGTTCATTAGATTCCACATATAAGTGAGATCATGTGATACTTGTTTTTCTCTGACTGACTTATTTTGCTTAGCATCTCTAGGTCCCTCCATGCTGTCTCAAAGGGCAAGATATCCTTCTTTTTCACAGCTGCATGGTATTCCATTGTGTCATACCACATCTTTTTTATCCATTCATCTACTGGTGGGCACTTGGGCTGTTTCCAGATTTTTAGCTAGTATAAGTAGCACTGCTATGAACATATTCTTTCTGATTGGTATTTTTGGATTCTTAGGATATATTCCTATAAGTAGGATCAGTGGGTCAAATGGCAGTTCCATTTTTAATTTTTTGAGAAAACTCCATACTGTTTTCCATAGTGGCTGCATCAGAATGTATTCCCAGTTTTCGAATAGTCTTTAAAATTTTTTAAGCATGTTTACACAGTAAGTTCTCATCTTTGTAAGTTCTCAACCTATTAATATCACCAGGTTCTTGAAACTGTGATGAAATGATAAGCTAGTTAATATAAACAAGAGCTAAATTCCTATTTTCATCAATGTTTGACTAAACAATGTTAAATAAATGATGTTATTTGAGGACCTGATGTATATTTCTTTCACAATAAAAATCATATTGCTATTTTAATTTTAAAAATAAAAGTTCACTTTGAAATACCATTTGAAGAGTTGCCTCTGATATATCTACAATTAGAGCACTGCAGTATAAAAATATACAAGGATTTCATTAAGAACTTAAGCTTGAAATTGTTCTTGGCCATGAATTCAAACCCTGTGAAGAGATTTATTTTAGTAAGATGAATAAAGAGCTCTGAGTATTTCCTGAGATCCATCAATTTGTTAATTGTTCATTCTTTAATTTAATGCTCTGTTGCACACTTGTTGGTAAGAAGCGTGAGAGTTCTATAAATATTAACTAAGTAAACAACATATTAGAATAGATATTAAGATTAAAAGGTAGATTCAATGAACTGGTTTTTCTTAACCTTCTGGCATCCAACAAGTATAAAACAAGAAGTGACTTCCAGCCACAGGAGAGTATAATATGAGGAAAGCAGAGCACAGAGCAGAAAGGATGGGTGACTCTGAGAGGCACCTTCTGATTACAGTGAAGAGGTAAACAAAGCCACAGGAATACTGTTAAAATCTGACACTGGTAAATTAAGGTGCCCTCCTTTGCTCTGCTGTCAAGAAACAAACTGGAACCAGTAGATTTTTAAGTGGTCATTAGAGTTTCCAAGAGAATTGTAAGAGATAAAAGAATACCAGATGGACTGAGTTCTTTGGGAAAAGAGGGAGAGAAAATAATGGGAGAGAGACAGAGACAGATATTTGGTCTATATACATTTAAGACAAGAAGAATGGCACTCTGGTGACAAATATACTGAGAAAGATATATTAAAATTAAACAAAAAATCTCTGATTAAGATAATTTGAAGAAAAAAATATAGACTCATGGGAACACAAGCCTATGCCAAGAGAAAGGCAAGATATTATGAAAAAGAAACATGGTAGGGAGTAATGTCAACAGGAAGGCCAGGGAAGAGAAGTTTGCCAATTATTTTTAAAGTTTTCTCTTCAGCATATGAAATCACCACTTCTCAATGTCATCGAACCAAGAGCTGCCATTCTTAACTTCCTGTTCTCCTTAATCCTGGGCTCCCTGGGTTAGTTCATCTGAATTCCAGGTTCAAGGGAAATGAACCGTGGCTAACTTGATGACAGCTCTGAAGGCAGGAAATGTATTAACTCTAAACTCTCACCCAGAGCTCCTGAAGTCTCTTACTCAACATCTTTTTTAATGTCAAGTTTATAAAATCAGCAACAGTGAATTTTTACTTTAAATACATGTGACTTTAACACTTACATTATTTACTGAATATAGACCAAACATAAAATCTGAAAGAGCAGCTAGAGTTCTGAGACAGAAAAAACTAATTCCTTCACAGGATTTTCAGCAGAGGAATAAAAGGTGAAAAATGTCACCTTTTGAACAAACTTAAAAAATGAGCAGCATTGGGGGGAGGGGGAGGGAATAAACCTTGATCCTAAAAGTCTAGCATAAGTAATGGGGTGAAATCTCTACTGAAGAAAATTAAAGCAAGGATTTAACTCATAAAGAAATAAGCAACAAGAGTAGATACAGTCATGTGACTTTCGATGTAAGGAAGCAGAGCCCAATATATAGGTAGGGCTTTTATAAGTCTGTTCAAGACCTTTATGAAAAATTTTTATAGCTTTTTAAAAGTATGTATTTTTATTCACTTTAGCAAGGAAGGAAGAGAGAGATAGAAACATCAATGTATTCTATTATATGGATATGTATCCCATTTTGTTGACCCATTTATCAGTTGATGGACATTTGAGCTCTTTCCATATTTTGGCTATTGTCAATAATACTGCTATGAACATCCATCTATACAATTTTGCTTGAATATCTGTATTTAAACCTTCAGAGTATATAAAGATCTAGAGGTAGAAATGCTAGGTCATTATGAACCTTTCTTTCCCTAAGCAAAATCTGTCCGTCCACCAACACCGAACAAGAGGACATAAGGGGACATATGTAATATTTTGAACAAGATTTAACTTAAAAAAACAAAAAAATTAAAAAGTGAGAGTATAAAAAACAATTAGAGATAATAAAATTTAAGGCCACCTGAGGCAGTATACAACAGTTAAGGCAAACAATAGGCTAACCAAAAAACTTAATAAGAAAAGCTAGGGAATGAGATATGTAAAGGGGTTTAAAAAGCACAGAGACGTCCTGAGAACCCACAAGGTCACGTTAATGCCTAGGGCTATGCTCATGCTCAGGAAAAACCGGAACAGATCCCTAAGCTTTCACCTCTGACTGACCTTAGTTTCTGTATAAGTAGGATCTAAGGATAAGTAGGATTAACATATTCATAGTGCTGAAAGCAAAAGACTAACTAAAAAGTCTATACCAAGCAAAATTATCCTTTAAAAATGAAGAAAAATTAAGACATCTATCTATATACTGTAAAAGGCTAATATGCAAAGTGTCCCCACAGGAGTTCAAGTGGGAAACTGATCACTCACTATGGCGTGTGCTGACCACCAAGGGGTGGCATGGATTGAAAAAAGGCCCCAGCTGGCAGCTGGCAGCTGGGGAAGGCAGGCCCCAGCCAGCAGCCAGAAGGCTCCCGATCAGCCCTGATTGCTCGCCAGGTCTAGGGACCCTACCATTCACAAATTTCATGCACAGAGCCTCTAGGTCTCACATACCAGGCGTACTGGTTAATAATGCAGATTTTGTAATCAAAGAAAACATGATAATTTCAAGAGAAATATTAAAATTAAATATTTAGCTGAAAAATGTCTCAAATCAATAACCTAGTAAACTTCCATCCTAAGAAACTAAAAAAGGAGCAAACTAACTCCAAAGGAAGAAAAAGAAGAAAATAATAAAGATTAGAGTTGAAATTACTGATGTACAGAATTGAAAACAGTGGAGAAAAATCAACAAAATAATTACTTTTTGAAAAAAATTAACAAAATTGACAACTATTAGCTAGACTGACTTCCAAAAGGGGAGAAGACTCTCTCCCTTTTCCTTCCTCTCTTTGAAATCAATAAAAACATATTTTTAAAAAATAAAAAATTATTTACTATCTACATAATACTGCAAATACACAAATATTTTAGATTTATCAAAGTTAATATTCATGATCACTGCTAAGCTGTCTGCCTCTAGGACTGACTTTAACTTGAATCATCAGAATTAGAAACCAGAACAGAAATAGACTCAAGGGAAAACTCCATAATCTGTCAGAAAAATGAAGCAATGTGCTTATTAGGTATAAGAGATAGGACTTCTTTCTTCTTATGATAAATTATGCCTTCTAGAAATTATGTGCATGCCTGAATATCACCTTAAAAAAAAAAAAAAAAGAAAGAAAAGGAAAGGAAAAGCATTTACCTTCACAGTCAAATCCTCAGTACCCAGTGTGACGTGGACTTGAATAGGTGGATAAACACCTTTGTCAGCATGATATTCCATGGTTGCTCTCATTGCATTCTGAAATACATTCGATTTACATTAAAAATACAACTTTTAAAAAGGAGAGAACATAATTATAATTTTCAACTAATATGCACTACCTGAAATTTTAAAAGTTTTAAGTCGCTGGAAATATGCTAAAGAATCATTATTCTTACAACCATATTTAAAGAATTATTTTTTAAAAAATTATGACATCAGTTGTGGAGGAGTTGTGAGACATTTTGATTTAAAGATTTCAACTAAATTCTGTATATTTTGCAAAACCAGATGTTTTAACATTTTAAACGAGTTTACATTAAAGCAGAAAATTTTACCCAAATGTTTTTACAATTTAGTAGATAACAGACAAATCTTATTTTTGAAAACTTTCATCTCTTTTTGTAAGAAACATTTTATCACAAATTGCTTTAAGAAAAAAATTTTTCATATACTATTTACAGCAATGGTCTTATAGTAATATAAACTAATCCAATTTACCATTAGTTTAAAACTAAGGACATTTACTTGTAAAACTGTTTTTGAACAATTTCTAAAGGATATAGCGTATAAACTGCCAACATGTCATAAGCACTAAGTGATAACACGGCGTGTAGCACTGGTAAGACTAGATAAAGCAAAAAAGGCAAAAGACAGGACTGACGTTGGAAATAAGTGTGACAGGGCACACCAGTCTCCCTAAGGAGCAGATTGTATCATCCCTACCGAAGGCCCTTTAAGGTCAGGTTCCATATGGAAGCTATTACTACTGACATTATACAAAATCGCTTATATAACATGGTAGTATTTCTTTTATTGGGGAACAAGATCTTTATGTTCTGAAATTTCAAGGGAAAAATCAGTTTTAATCCTTTAAGTGCCAATCATTTATTTAATCACTTTGAAATATTTTTGGAAGGATGAGATATTTTCTTGCTTTCTTAGAACAAAACCTTGCTGTTCTAAGTCATCATTATTGTTCCATCATTTTTCCTGTTTCAGAATATTTTTCATTTTCCTTATCAGGCTGAAAGCCACATCTTCTCTCTTCTAAACTGCTTCTGGCCGAAGACAAGGCAACTCAGGTAAAAGAGAATACAGCTTCACTTAGGGTGCCGTTTTCAGCCTCAGGGGCCTGTACACTTCTCATTACCCACTTTCCTGTCCACCAGCAAGTATTTTTTTGTTTCCTGTTTTGTTTTTTTTGGGTGGGGGGAATGTATTCTCAACAATACTATCATAATTTTATTAGTTTTCAAAACTCGTTGTAAAGAGCAAATATACCAGCAGAAGCCCTATACATTAATATAATGACTTTCTCAAAAGAAAAAAAAAGCATACAGCAGGTAGGACTCTGGTCCTTTAGGGGTGGAAAGTGTTTATTTTGTAAAAAATAGAACCTTAAGGAGCCCCTACACTGTGCTGAAATTGTATTGGACATTCTCCAATCTTCCTAATAACCTGGAGAGTATTACCCCTTGTTTTTCCTGAAGAGGAAACAGCAGCTCAGAGGTTGAGAGACTTGGCCGAGGTCACCCACATAATTAAGTGGCAGAACTGGAATGCAAACCCAGGTCTTTCTGCAGCCCCAGGCTGAGCTTACTGCCACACTGAGGGGCCCATCAACGCTGTCAAAAGGCTGATCTCCAGGAGTGTGACATGACGCCGAACATGAAATGACATCTTTTAATTAAACGGAAGAGAACCCGGTAGAGTATTTAACTTTCAGAGCAGACTCCTAGCCTCAGGAAAGGACTAATAGAAGTTATGTAATACTATTTTACAAACCTTGAAAAGTTCAAACACCATGTGATAGAGATGGGATGGTACATAAACCACTTGTATTGGTTGTCCTGGTGATTTTGCTACAGAGCAGAAGAGAAAAATATAAAAGTACAGAGAGATATGCTTAAAGCATTTAAAGAATATATTGTGTGGTGATGAAAAGAAAACATTTACTACGGAGGATAGCATCATTTGGGGGAGAAGTGCCACACCAGTTCTTCACCGTATTCATGTTTGAACCCCATGCTCACTTAGATTAATACCTGACAGTGACAACACGAGTCCTGCATAACAAATAACCACCCTTCTTCTCTCTGACGGCCTGTCTTTGTAAAGGACACTCAACCCTAAGGTCCAGGTTTTACTCTCCAGAGAAAGTGTTACAGTCTATAAATCCCATGGTCCAACTTACATAAATACATCCTTTTTTAAGCCATTTTTAAAAATGTTTCACCCAGGTGGAATGTTCCCTGTTTTATTTCAGGCATTTCCATGGATATAGATCTGAAGAAAAAAATTAGCATCCATTTACCCAGGAATGCTGATTTTACATTCAACCATTAATAGGTGCCCTGGTGGGCAGGTAGTATGTAAATCAGAACGTCAGGCAGAGCATACCCTGGGATTCTAATGTAGCCAACAAACTGGATTCCCCTCTGAATAAAAAAAAACCCTGGAAACATGGGTGGGACATCTGGACACTGCCCAGAGTAGTTCAGGTTCCCAAACTATCGCGGGTGCATTGTGATTTTGTTACTGAATGTACCATTATGGGCCAAAAAAAAGCATTAATACGGCTTTAGAAAAACACCCAACAATTCTATTTTCAATTGGGTAACATCCACTGCTGTCCAGAATACAACTTAGTAAAAACCGTTTAATTTTATTCTTCTCAAAGGGTCATGTTAACTTAAGAAATGCCCCCCTCCCCCTTTTTAAACTACCCTGTCTCTAGGAAAAACAGTATTTTGTCCAAAAGGCGCTGCTGTCAAGGCGAAAAAAAGACCGTTAGAGATAAACAGCTTCTCCAATAAGTGAGCACCTTTATTTCTTCTTTACACCTCCAGTCTTTCTACTTCCTCAATAGCAAACAATGATTCATAACTCAGGGAGTAAGAATATTCTAGGGTAAACCTTACATTATTGAAGTGCATATAAAAGTCAAATGGAATTTTCTTGGCACCACTTTTCCACTTTTTCTAACCAGAAAACCAAAAATAAGTAAAGAATCAACATAATCAATTTAAAACTGTTTTAATGGGAAAGACCAAAATGTCTTTCAGAAAGAATCCGGCTACATTAAATACACACACACACACACACACACACACACACACACAAATATGTTTTAACATGATTTCTCTCACTCAGCTTTCCTATGAAGAAATTGATGAAAAGTTCTTTTATATTAAAACAAATCAAATTATCCTTATAGTCCCTTGTCAAGTCATCAAAACAGTGATCACTGAGGAATAGACAGCATCAGGCTTACCATTCAGTTCTTCAAGCTCTAGTTCAGGAGAGTTAATATAATATAGATCACAAAGACGCCTAGCACTTTCATAGCCATCTAGTGTGAATCAAAACAACAACAAAAAAGCATTAAATAAATTTACATCTGTTTCATGCATTAAGATGGCAATAGTACTGACAAATGAAATTTTCAAACTTTTTATAGAAGAAAATATACTTTAAAAATCTTAGTGTTTAAATATGACATGACAAAGCCTAATAGCCATAAAGGAAAAATGACAGATACAATACAAAAAAAAAAAAAATCAAGCAAAACCCACATCTATATAGAAAAAGACACCATAACTCAGCTGGTGTGGCTCAGAGGTTGAGTGTTGACCTATGAACCAGAAGGACATGGTTTGATTCCTGGTTAGGGCCCATGCCCAGGTTGCCGGCTCAGTCCCCAGTAGGGAGCATACAGAAGGCAGTCAATCAATTTTTCTCTCATATCACTGGTTTCTCTTTCTCTCTTCCTCTCCCTTCCTCTCTGAAGTCAATAATATATATTAAAAAGGTAAAACACACATCAAACAAAGTAAAGAAAAACAGAAAAACAGCAGGCTAGAAAAATACTTACAATACATAAAACAAACATTTAGAGTTGGTGAGGGTTTAGGAAAGACACTCTCATTCACTGTTTGTTACTTTATGGGACTTATCAAAATTTTAAATGCACTTTAAATGTAAATCTTCCTTTGTAAAATAATAGCAAGTCAGCAGATACCTAAAGATGTGCACTGCAGTACTGTGGTTAGAAAAAAAATGAAAACAAACCAGGTGCATCAAAGGATGGCCCAGCCAGTATGGTTCAGTGGTTGAGTGTCAACCCATGACCAGGAGGAAGAGGTTTGATTCCAGTCAGGGCACATGCCTGGGGTTATATGCTTGATTCCCAGTAAGGGGCACGCAATAGGCAACCAATCAGTGTTTCTCTCTCATCACTGATGAGTTTTTTCTCTCTCTCCCTTCCTCTCTCTGAGAAAAAAAAATTAATAAAGAGTTTAAAAAAAAAAAGGGGGTGGGGGAAAGGATGGACTAATAGATTCTGGTACATCCAAACAGCCATTCAAAAATCTATATATACTGAACATGGTACAATGTCTGTAAACTTGTAGAAAAATATACATAGATTACCCCATTTTCTAAATAAACAACATAAGACCAGCAATCATATGTGTGTATGTATCTATCTGTCTATATAAAAGCCTAAGAGACCAAATGACAGGTTGACTGGTCACTATGACGTACATTGACCACCAGGGGACAGACACTCAACGCACAGGATCGGGCTCCCTCCAGAATGGATTGGGCTTGCAGGAATCAGGTTCCCTCATGTCTGAATCGGGCCAGCTGGTGGGGATCAGGCCGAAACCAGCTATCTGAGGGGTCCCAGATTGCCAGAGGGCATGCATAGGCCAGGCCAAGAGACCCCATCGGTGCACGAACCATGCATCGGGCCTCTGGTATATGATATAAACAGAAAAAAGTGTGGAAAGATGTAAGCCAATTATAAATTATGGCTCCTAGACAGAGAATTAGAAAGGAAAAAGGGGCTTAAAATTTTTGAAATGAAACAGATACCCACATAGCATCACCATACTTTACCTATCCAAACATTGTATCAGCAAATATCCTATTCATAAGGCACAATTAACATTAGAAAGTTATTTGCAAACCCACATATTCCCTCCTAACATTTTTATCTCGGGATATAAATAGCTGTTTTAATAGCAAGATTAACACTCAACCATTTTGATTCCTACATCTTTTCTGAAAGGAGGAATGTAAGTATTTACCTTGAATAACTTCAACTACATTGCAGTTTGGGTTTATGCTTCCAATGTGTTTTCGATGAGATGGGCTTCCTTTGTCTTTCCCACCAAACAACAAAGCTATTAAGAAAAGAAACATCAGAGACAAATAAAATATGCTAAAATATCCAAAGCCCATTTCCAGATTGGAAAACTCTTTCTCTAAATGGTATTTGAACAATAGAGCAAACATTTTTCTTAAACATAAATATAAACACAGTATTTTATATTCATTAATTAAAAGCAAGTCTGTTTACTTTTCTTAATACATTTAAAAAAGTGAAATTAAACATTTTCCTTAAAGGGAAGTTTTCTAAATAAATTTAAAATATATCAATACACTTTATTTAACTTCTTGACTTCCAGACACTTACAGTGCTGATTGAGTAACATTCTAATTGAAATTCGACTCATGAAGAAGCGATCCAAAAAGTACTGAACATTCTGGCTGGTGACAGGATCCGCCCCGAAGCTCTCCTTGTATTCAATCACACCCTGAGCCATGGTGGGAATCACGTCATTGTGTCGGTTCCTGATCCGTATCACGGTATCTGTGAAGCTAAACAAACCTGTCTCAATACAGGCAAGTATTTTGACAAGTGAATCTAATACTAAAATCTAAGTTTAACTAACTACACTAGGTAAGCAATCCCTAATTCAGCTAAAGAAACCTCAGTGCATGTTGTCCTATACCTCTGTAAATATATTTCAGATCATTAAATATACTGAGTCTGTGACAGTGTAAGAACCTTCAAAATAAAACGTTTGAAATTTAACTATTTTCTTGAAAGTCTTAAAGGAAGGCTGCAACAAAAGATGATCCTAAAAATGCTATGGTTTTCCTGTAACCATTGTCAGCTGGGGTCATCTGAGCCCGCACTGTGAGACAGTATTCAGGGACATTCGGTCTCAGAGAAGACGGAGCACTGGCTTCCAGGGAACACATGCTCTGTAAGGAATGAAGATGAATGAGCCAATAAGGCCTGTCGGCTTTGGAACTATTCCCTGGGGCTCAAAGAGAGAAAGAACCACTGAGAACAGAAAAGTAGGGAAGAATTCTAATTCCACTCATCCTATAAGTTTAAAAATGGGAGAGGGAAAGTCAACTGTTGTGTGAAAAGAAAAATTTTTCAAATCATCTGGCCTTCCCATTTCTGTCATTTAGAAGACATTCTTGCTTGGATAATTTAAAGAACTAAATAAAGAGAAAAGGAGTCTTAATTAGGAAGTAATAAAATCCATTTTGTAACATACCCATCAGAATTTACACTTTCGAGTGAGTGCCTTCCCATTCAAAGTCATCATCTGGAGTACTATTAACTTATTCCAATGATGCTCTCACAGCTCAAAACATTTTTGAAATTCCTAGTTTGTAATTAGCTTCAAAACCATACTGTTAATCCAAAATACAAATAAGAAAACTCCTCAAAAAACAGCAAACATTTAATCATTTCTAGTCACCCCTTTATTAGTTTATTTCACCTTTCCCTACTTTTTTTTTATTTTTTTGATCCTCAGCAAAGGATACATTCTCCATTGATTTTTTTTAGAGAGAGTAGAGAGAGAGGATGGAGAGGGAGAGAGGAGAGAAACATTGATGTGAGAGAACACAGCGATTGGTTGCCTCCTGCTCATGCCCAGATGGGGGCTGGGGATTAAACTTCAACAGAGGTTTGAGCCCTCGGCCAGGAATTGAACCAGAGACCCTTCAGTCCATGGGCCGACGCTCTAACCACTAAGAAAACGGCCAGGGCATCACCTTTCTCTCCTTTTTTAATATACAAAACAGTATTATTCTGCTTAACTGCTCTGAATGACTGTTTCCAGAAGGTTCAATAACATAATCCAAGTAACATAAAGTTTACTTTTAAGACTACTTGTGCCCAAATCTGGGCACTACCATTTGTTAGCTATTTGACCTTTATGCTACCTTAAGTTACTTAATCTTTTTGTACAGAAAGTAGCATCTCAATTGAATTGTTTTAAAGATTAAATATCATTCACGTAAAATGTGCTCCATAGGCAGGTACAGAGTACAGCCTGATGTTATTTTCAGACCAAAATCATAAAACTGAAATTTTAAAAATGAAGTGTTGCCATCACCTTTACAGTAAAAAAAAAAAAAAAAAAAATGTATTAAAGACTGAGGACAGCAAAACAGGTGATCTCCAACTTTAGACCAACATCCATTGGAATAAGCAGGTAAAACTACCTGAGGGCACTACTTGGGTTCACCACTTCTGATATGTTGGTCATTGAAGTGGACATATTACTTACATTATCTTACAGACCACAGGTCATAAATTAGAGACCCACAGACATTTTTGTAGGCCTTCAGTGTTTTTAAAAGTTTTTAATTAGTTGCCTATCATTCAAAATTGGGAGATTTTACATTAAAAATCTAGATGTGTGCCTGGTGTGGCTCCGTAGTTAGAGCATTGGCCCATGCCCTGAAGTGTTGCTGGTTCGATTCCCAGACAAAGACACATTCCTGGGTTGCAGGTTCGATCCCCAGCCTGCCCCCCCTCCCCCTCTCTCTCTCTCTCTCTCTCTCTCTCTCTCTCTCTCTCTCTCTCTCCCCTTCATCCCTCTCTTCCACCACTCTCTCTAAGAATCAGTGGAAAAAATATAATCAGGGTAGGATTAACAAAATATCTAAACTTGTGACTTTTCTTTAAACACACAAAAAACTTTAATGATCTGGGTGGTGTTACGGTTTGGCGACGATCGGCTGGAGCTGAGGGTGGCTGTCCTTTAGAGGAAAGCACTCTCCAGGTAAAAAGTCCTCGGCTTCCATCCAGGGCACTGCGGCCACTCTAGCTACCTGCTGACCACCACACTTACACCAGAGACCCGAGGAGCATGAAGCATCTCTTGTTCCCAGGACCATTTCCTGCTTTCTGTTATTTGCCTGGCCCGTTCGGGCTGCTTTAGACAAATATACTGCCACATGTTCCATTACAGTGGGAAACTAAAAGTTAATCAATTTATATTTTTATATGACGTTTAAAGGGTACAAAAATTATGTTCAGAATTAGGTCAAAATAGTAAACTTACTCATAAATAGCTTTAGCATCTTCAGCACTTTTGTCCTTAAAATCAAGAAGCTCCTGAAGACTCTGGATATACCTAAAATACAAATCAACAGGATAAGCTTGCTCTGTCACACTTTGAGAGTTCAATACTGTGAAAATGCTCAAAAGGGATTTTTAACATTTCTCATTTTTTAATTTAGTATAGTACTCTAAATTACCAGTATGATTAAGATGGGATTTTTATAGATAATCACATTTCAGCAAAGTTCCTGCCTCAAACTAGCAGAACGTGCATATTTTCTCCGAAAAGCAGAGGTTAAATTTGATTGAAGAATTGTAAGATTTTCTACCTCTTTTATTTTTTTAAACTTCTATACTCTAAAATAGTTATCTTTACTAAGTAGCTTTTAAAATTTTTTGTTCGGTTTTTTTTTTTTTTAGAGAAAGATGGAGAGGAATAGAGAGATAGAAACTGCAATGAGAGAGGAACATCAATCAGCTGCCTCCTACATGCTCCCTACTGGGGATCAAGCCTGCTATCCGACATGGAACCAAACTAGTGACTCTTGGTTCATGGGTTGACACTCAACTAGTGAGCCACACCAAGCAGGCTAAAATAGCTTTTAAACTTCCTAAACTTACCACTGTAAATTACAGTATAAATGATGATTGCCATGAGAACTGTGCCTATAACCAATAACTATGTGATCATGGGCCTTGTCTTAGTCTCAGTAAAATGTAAAGCCCAGCCTATCTTGGCCTAACAGTCTAACTTAAAGGTCTGTGTTTTAAACCTTTATTTTAGATGTTCATGTCCAATCAACAAATTTGTTAAAAGCCTACAATCTATACTACCTAGTTCTTTTAAACGGAACTGAACAAAACACAAAAGTCACGGGAATGTAGGTTTTAGTTTATCTAACATCTCAAGGCAGTAAATTACCTGTTAAGGAAGGAGCCAAATAAAGTCCAAATGACTTTCTCAAGGTCTTCCCACCAAGCACAATGGCAGTGCGGGGCCAGCGCTAAAAACACGCAGCTATCGCTCCATGATCTTCAAGAGAACAAGGTCTGTCTAACTGCCCTAACTCAGCAGACATGGGGAGGAATTAACGTGTTTTTAAAATCTGCAAATCCATGTTAGTTTAGAAAGCTGTTGTTGACAAACAACCTGCCTCTCTACATTCCAGAGTTAAGTGACTCTGATACCTACAGGTCTCTAACTATTAATGTTCTCTTCGTTGTCAAGGAAAACTGTGCTCTTTTTTATTCAAGAGAGATCTGAATACTTACAACATGTTAGGCACAGATTGGATTTCTAAATGCAACATATGCTATTTTTAATGAAGAATTAAAAAAAAAAAAAAGCAGGCATAAGCTTCCAGAGAAAAGTATATTCTTTCATGTATTATTTAAAATTGATGTTAGATCAGTTTCTTGCACCAACTATCCTGCCTACAAAAAGAAAGCAAGGATCTCCATGAATCATTATTGGGAAATGCCTTACAGCGGAATTATTTCCATTTAAACTGAACTCTGACAGACTCTTTCGCTTGAAATGCTTAGTGATTAAGAGAACGATTAAGTTAATAACATTAACAAGGAAAAATGTATATAGGTGGCCACATATGCTTTACACCCTTCATAACTCTTTTGTCACTTTTTTGGACGAGAGATCAGTTTCTATACAATTTCAATAACTTCTAATTGTTTTTTAAATAAAAAAGGTTTTAACTTGTGTCTTATAAAGATATATTTCAATAAAATAAATTCAGTTTATAATAATACATGCACTTTCTAATCCATTTCATCTTTCTGACTGTAGCATAGTATAGTAGAAACAAAAAAAATCCAGGTTTGAATCCCAGTGCCAGTACTAGGCAAAAAAAAAAAAAAAAAAAAAAAAAAACAAACTTCATTGGTTGGAACCTGTTTCATCATCTGGAGATAATGTAAAATGGAGATGATGATGACTACTGGGCAGGGTGTGGAAAGGATTAAAGGTGCTGTGTATAAATTCCTCACTTCAACAAATGGCATATATTATTATAACATCCCTGCAGACTGAATAAAACAAATCTTGAGCTTAGTGTCTGCATTTCTGTGCAGTTTTGTTTTTCTGAAAACAAGGAGTGATAGCATCCAGGATTCTACTAAAGAGCAACCTTAAGATTCTACTAGAAGGATTCTACTAAAGAGCAACCTTAAGATTCTACTAGGGGGTTAAAAAAAAAAAAAAAGATTTGCTTTAACTTGAGTTTAGTCCACAACCCCATTGCCATTGAAACTGCAAACACAGCAATCTTACCAGCTTTGTACCAATTGAACCGATGGTGTCCTGAGAAGATTATCTGGGAGGAGACTTATTTCTTTCATTATATTCGCCAACCTAACAGGCAACTCTTGCCGCAGAAACATAAAGGAGGTCTTTTCACAAGCATTCACAGACCCTGAAAACAGACACGGTGGGAAGAGCAGTGAGTGGAAGCCATAAGGCAGCAGACGCCAAGAGGCAGGGGGAGCACAGAGGGAGTCACTGGGCCAGAAACTCCAGAGGGGTAGCATTACCCTAATGACAGGGCGAGGGAAGGGGCAAGGGAGGAGATAGCCCAGTCTCCAGAGCATCCTGAATAAACCTTCCAGCTCCTGACACTCCAATTGCTCCGTAGAACAACGAAGAAACTCTCCTGTCTCCATTGTTTGCATCCTTACTGTAACTTCCTGTCTTAGAACAAATGCAACCTGAGCAAGTCTGAGCAAGGCGAGGAGTCTAATTAACAGGACCTGCAAAGCCTACCCCATATAAACTGCTGCTGCCGTCACTTACAACACGTTTCCTACGTCTGGGTTTATGAGAGTGAATACCTGTCAAAGAGACACAGAAAATGCTGTCAGGTGCACAGGAACCACTATACTAATTAGAGAAATTCTGTCATGTGCATGGGAACCACTATTCTAATTACTATAACCAAAGAGTAAGTGCAGAGAAGAGCAAAAAATACCAATGCCTGTTCAGCAACCATCTTCCCACCACCACCACGACCTCTCTCCACTCCCCAACCTCCATCCTATTCAACTGTCTAATTCCAGGAAAAGCAGCCTGCTCCTCCCTCCACTCCTGCATCAGGATACTAAGCAGGCCCATTGTAGAACGTCCTCTGGCTGGCAGTTCCATTTTAAGTGAAACTGAAAAGCCGGATCATTTCAGCAATGCATTTGGAAGTCGCTAATTTACTAGTAATCCTGCTATTTCAGCAAAAGCAACCTTAGTAAAAATTAGATCGTCAGCAGCAGGAACGACGGTATTAAAGGAAGTCATTTCCTTGTGAAAGTTGAAAGGTATACTTGTAAACAAGGCCACACTGACCCCTAGTCACACTAGACTAGAGTTATTTTAACATAAAAATAAAAACTGAGGATGTGGGCCCCCAAAATTTGCCCCCTGTCAACCACAACTTTAAGACAAAGTTGCCAGCCATGCTGGTATCTTTCAAAAGCCCTCTAGGGATCCGTCCATTACCTAATAGCACTCACAATGCATAAGGTAACTGTCTACTTAAATGTTATGACTTCATACACTCGAGTGTATCTGAGTTCTCCCCTTTCCCCTCAATACCCCCATGTGAGAAGTGGAAGAGCTCACTTTGCAATTCCTTTATAATTTGCTGTATCCTTTCTATTATAGAAAACAAGCAAGCGCGCGCGCGCGCACACACACACACACACACACACACACACACACACACACACACACAGAAGGAAGAGGAAGGTGGATGGATAGTCGCTTCCAGGGGGTGAACTGTCCATCTTGCACTCATGCACTGGACACGTGCTCAAGACCTGCTTGCTGCTGCTGAGATGAGCATGCCATTGGCGGAAACCCTGCAGCCGGTGACAAGGAAAACATTCCGGGAGACGCTGGGCCAGCTATAACCTGCTTCCCCTGTCGTCAGGCAATTCTATGCAACCGTCATACCAAACTGGGCATCTCTCCTCGCTCTGCGGTGTCTGCCAGGACCCCCGGAGGGGCCTCCCCCAGAGCCCGGCGCGCCAGGGGCCCGGCCGCGGGGGGACCCGCACACGTGCGCCGCCGGCCGTTCCGCCGGGGCCTCCGGGTTTCCAACAATAACCACCACCAGGCACCCGCCCCGGGGACGGGTCCGACCTGCGAGCCCGGCACCTGGGCATCCGGATCGGGCCCGAGAGAGGGAGGACGGAAGCACCGAGGGCACCGGGGAGGGGGCAAGGGCGCAGGGGGGACTGGACCGGGGCGCCGGGGAGGGGGCGGGGGCGCAGGAGGGACCGGGGCTCCGGGGAGGGGGCGGGGCGCAGGGGGGACCGGGGCGCCGGGGCGCCGGGGAGGGGGCGGGGGCGCAGGAGGGACCGGGGCTCCGGGGCGCCGGTGAGGGGGCGGGACTCAGGAGGGACCGGGGCTCCGGGGAGGGGGTGGGGCGCAGGGGGGACCGGGGCGCCGGGGAGGGGGCGGGGCGCAGGGGGGACCGGGGTGCCGGGGAGGGGGCGGGGCGCAGGGGGGACCGGGGCGCCGGGGCCGCGCGCACAGGCCCGGGGCCGGCCGGCGGCCGCGCTCGCTCACCGAAGTCCAGGAACTGCTTCATGGAGAGCGGGGACGGCGAGAAGCGCGCGTAGAAGTCCACCTGGCCCGGGACGCCGCGCTCGGGCGCCGGGCCGGAGGCGGAGGCCGAGTCGGAGGCCAGGCTGCGGCGGGCGCGCGGGCCCGGGCCCCCGGCCGAGGCGGCTCCGCGCAGCAGCCGCGCCAGCCGCATGCCGAGCCCGAGCCGGCCGCGCCGGGCCCTGCGCTGCGCTCGGGCGGCGGGACGTGCGGGACGTGGCGGCCGCGGGGCGGGGCTCTGAGGGCAACTGTCACCCGCGGCCGCGCCCCCCGCGCCGCCGGCGGGGTCCGGGAGGGAGGGAGGGAGGGAGGGAGGAGGTAGAGAGGGGGAAGAGGGAAGAGGAGGGCCGGGGAGCGCGCGGGGCGGAGCCGGGGCGCTGGGCGGGCGGCGGGGGGCCGCTGGGCTCCTCGGGGTGGCGGGCCGGTCCCAGCGCCTCCGGGAGAGCCCGCGGGGCCGGGGCCGCCGGGTCGCCCCGGTGGTGTGGTGCGCCCCCTTCCCGCGCCCTTTGGGGACAGATCCCACCTTCCTGCCTCCTCTGTCTTGGCCCTAAGGCTCGGGGTCGGGCCCGCGGGGGGTCCTGAAACTCCCCTGCGATGCCAGCCCCACTTTGTCAGGAGAGGAAACTGGGACCCAGAGAGGGTCTGGCACGGGCAGAGGAGTGGCGAGCGCTGGGAAGGGTGGCCCTAAATAGACCGGTGACCGCAGCCCGGAGAAGGGCACTGGCAGGCGGCCCGGAGCATTGTCTGCAGGCATCCCCCGCACAGTCAGCGTGTGTTTAAAGGGTCCCTGCACTCAGCTGCCCCTCTCTGTACCTGTCATAGGGTCACCGTTGGGCTGCTCCACCTTTTCCAAATTTCTAAATATAAGTGACTAGAGACTAGACAGTTCCCCATGTTGGTTTAACCGCATAGACAGAGCTGCAAAGGATACAGTGAAAAGCACTGCTGTCCCTTCTCTCTGCTGCTGCTTCCCCATTTATCCACCTCCAGGGCTTTATGGTATGTCTTAGAGGCAACAAAATTGCCTTTCCATGGGTGTGAAATGTATCCATGTATATATATATGGAAATAAAAATTCAAAGTGAGAGGCAACAAGCGTTGGAGATCACACAAAAAATAAATATTCTGGAAGCACTGATTCGACAGAAACCCAAACAGCATTCTGATTAGGGAGTGAAGGCAGAGGGTTTTATGAGAAGAAGAAGGGGAAATACATGAGTAGAAGGAATTTCTATTTGTACTAATAAAGCTAAGTCATTTTTCAGGTACACATGGCTCTTCACTGATTACGAAGAATGGCTTTGATTAGCAGTCCTTGTCCTCGGAAGCCTGTTTTCCTGTTAGCTTTACAAACAGTTGTTTGGAGAACAGAGCTACTCTGGCCCACGTTGAAGGTTCTTTTGCCCAGTTCAGACATTCCAAAGATTTGAGGAGTAAGACAAAGCAGTTGTTATATTTATGGCCTAGAATAGCAGTAGTATGTATTTATGGCATAGAATGGCAATTCATTTCTCTATGGTGATCATGGTGCCTCTAGCCATTTTTTCTTTTTCAGATTTCTGTTAACATGGTAGTTAAGACTTTGATAAAAAAAAAAAAAATACCTTAGAGGAGGCAGTGTAAACACAAGACTTTGATAGGTAGGTAGAGAAAATGATGAGGGAGGAGGAATTACCTCATTTATATGTTTGCTGCCTCACTCACCATATTCTGTAACTCCCCACTCTGGCCAGCTTTCATCCATTCTATGAATATTTGTTGAAGGCCTACTAACATGCTAAGTAATTACTAAGTAATGTTTTGTATCTACATAGTTGGGAATAAAGCTGCATGCAATTCAGATAGGAATCCCTTCTGGATATGCCTGCTCTTACAAACATATACGACAGGGACCAACCTGGTAGAATTTTATACCATATCTTCCAATATTAGAGAGCCTTCTCTGTGAAAGAATGAGTTAGTTTGTTCTTAGTGATTCAGACAGCAGATGGAGAACTTGTGGGTGGAAACTTAGAAAGATAGATCTGACTCACATGGAAAAACATTCAATGGTTACAATCAATGGACTGTGAAATGGGCAGCTTCAGAGAGAGAAGGGGTTCTTGTCAATGACCATTAGCCTCTGGACAACAGTTCTGTAAGGACAGTGCAGAGAGGATTATGGGGAAGCAATATCATACAATGAAAAAAACTTGGCTTCTGATTTTAGGTCCTGGCTCTGCCATGAAGTGGCTGTGTGACCTTGAATGTGTTACTTAGCTTCTTTGAGCCTTAGTCTCCTTACCTAAAAGAGGCAGAATAGCCCTGGCCAGTGACTCAGTGGTTAGAGCATCAGCCTGCTCACCAAAGGGTCACAGGTTCTATCCCTAAGCTCAGATGGGATGCCTGCAGGAGTCAACTAACCTCTCTTTCTCTCTCTCTCTCTCTCTCTCTCTCTCTCTCTCTCTCTCTCTCTCTCTCTGCTTCTACCATCTTGCCTCCCCCTTCTACTCTCTCTAAAAGTCAATGGGAAAAAATATTCTTGGATGAGGGTTAACAAAATAAATAAAAAATAAAAAGGAAGGACACTACCTGTCTCACAGGGTGACTGTGACCTAGATGGTATGGCTATGTGTGTTAGCACAATGCCCAGGGCATTTTAGAGCTACTTAATGAAGGGTGTCTATTTTTTATCATTATTGCTGTATGTTTTTTAAAATATGTTTTTGTTAATTTTTAGAGAGAGGAAGGGAGACAGAGAGAAAGGAACATTGATTGGCTGCCTCGTTTATGCCTCCTACTGGGGACTGAGCCCGTGTAACATGATCATGTGCCCTGACTGGGAATCGCACCGGCCATCTCTTGGTACATGGGATGATGCTCAACCAACTAAGCCACACCAGCCAGGATGCTGTATGTTTTTAAAATTATTTCCTTGTTAGGTTTTCCTTGTCAGAATCGCTCACATGTTTGGCCTGAAGCCAACTTTACCAAAGGTTTGGGAGAAAACAATGTGAAACTGAATATTTGACATCCTTGAATTCTTCCCTCAGCCATTTCCACAACTCTGTCCCAGCCTTCCTTGATGCTGCCTTCCTCTTTTCTCCTTTCCTTCCTTCCAGACCACTCCCTGAGCTCCACATGCTTCTCACACTGCGATGCACAGTATTATTCAACTCCCTCAACCTCTGTTTACATCTCTGAGCAACCCTGTTTGCTTTCCACCTGAACATGTCCAGGTGCTCAGCTAAACATTAACTTGCGTGGAAGCACAGAAGCCCAACAGAAACCTTGAATTTTATTTTATTCTAGGAGAATGAAGGTTATTCTCCTCGAAGCCAGTCCAACTGTTTTATAACATGCATTTCTTTTTCTCCAGAGTATATTCACAAACTCCAACCCAACATACAGAGAATGGGTATATGAGGACATATATAATATGGCATCAATTTATTTATTTATTTATTTTTAATATATTTTATTGATTTTTTACAGAGAGGAAGAGAGAGAGATAGAGAGCTAGAAACATCGATGAGAGAGAAACATGGACCAGCTGCGTCTTGCACACCCCCTACTGGGGATGTGCCCGCAACCAATGTACATGCCCTTGACTGGAATCGAACCTGGGACCTTTCAGTCCGCAGACAGACGCTCTATCCACTGAGCCAAACCGGTTTCGGCTATTTATTTATTTTATTATTATTTTTTTTTTTACCAAAGCCTTAGGGCCCAGAAACTGGAGAGAACATTGGATTTTTTTTCAGATATCTGTTAACATGGCGGCCGTTAAGACTTCTGTAAAAGTGTCTTACAGGGAGCACTAGGACAAAACACCATAAGAGACATAGAGAAAGTAATCCAAGGGTGGTATCTCCTTTTTTGGGGAGGGTATCTCTTTTATATTATCTTTACTAAAGGGCTATGTTACATTTATATTTAATTATGTAGCTATAAAGTATATGTTAAGACAATAAAAATCTATATGTAACACTAGAGGCCCAGTGCAAGAAGTTGGTTCATGGATGGGGCCCCTAGCAGCTGCTGGCTGCCAGCCAGGCCTCAGGAGCCTCCCTGCCCACCGTTGGCCAGCTGGCCCCGCCCCCTGGTCAACTCCCAGTTGAAGGGACAATTTACATATTAGGCTTTTATTATATAGGATACCTGGGACAGATCCTCCTAAGTCGGTGAGAATTTGTCATCCTTGTTGGGCTGGTTTGACTGAAGAGTGGGAAAAAAAAACAATGGAAAACAAGCTAGCTGTGTCACCCTGACTCCATTACCTTCTGGTTGCATAGAGCTCAGAGTGAAACCAAGGGTCCTTATAACTTTGATTAAATTTCGTTTTAAATCATAGCTTTAGGAACTATCTCTCTCTCTCTCTTTCTATCTCTCCCCCACCCCTACCCCTTCAGTGACCTAGTTTTGACGTAAGTTGTGTTTCAGTTTCTGAGCCTTACTTGGAATGACCCTCTGCCTATTTTCCCATGAAACCAGAGGGCAGCTGGAAAAGACCTCCGAGCTGTCTTCCAGACCTAAAGAAATAATTCATTACCTCACCTCACCTCCCACCAGTCAGCTCCCATCACAACCCCGAACCCCGTAACCCATGGTGTCTTTGACTTTGCCCTATATACTCTTTAGCCTGCACACCATGGGAGAAGCCGGGCTTTTGAGCATTAGCTTCCCGTTCTCCTGGATGGCCCCAATTATAATAAAATAGCCAGTATTTCTCCACTGCAATTCTGCTTTTAGTGTTTGGCTCTCCTAGCTTTCTGTTCTATAACTAGAGGACAAGAGGAAAAGAAAGTCATGATTCCTATTCCATCGCTCCCTTCTTGCCAGGCCGTGATTTGTGTCCCTCTTCAGTGTGGCCACAGCTCCCTCCCTCTGACCAGCGAGCCTCAGCTTCCCTCTGTTCTTTATGGGGGTGGGTGCTTCACCATCCCTGCCGCCTACCTCTGCCCACGCCTCTGTGAAGCGTTCCTTTGACACCATTGTAATTAGCTAGCTATTAATAATAGGAAGTGGGAGGCCAGACATTATAGGCCTTGCCATTTGGGAAGTTTCACCAGAAAGCTGCACTTTCACACTCCCCGGGAACCGCCGGCTCATTTCCACAGATAACTGGGGAGGAGACCCAACAAGAGGAGAAGATGCATGTCCAGTAAAGTTGGG